GAGAATAATATAGAACTCAATTGTGTTTATATATACTGGCAGTGAACATATGAAAACCCCAGTTGGCATATGGCTTAATGCAATTCCTGTCAAAATATCTGCATGGTATCTTGTATATAGACAGGTTTATTCTTAAAAAAATATGGAATGACAAGAAAGTAAGAGATAAACCAATTTCAAGAAAGAATAAAGTGGAAGGAATCACCAATACATCTTATTTTAAGATTTTTTTTTAGCTGTATTCTGAAGAGGGAAAGCTATGTAGATTAATGAAACAGAAAAAGAAACCTCATAAATAGCTTCATATACATACAGCAAAATGATTTTTGGTATGAAAAACAGTTCCAATGAAGGAAAGATAGTCTTTTCAACAAATGTTGCTGGAGCATTTGTGTATCCATGGGCATCCCTGGGAACGTCAACCTAAACTTCACACCTTATACAAAAATTAATTCAACCCTGAATATAGGTTTCAATGTAAAACATAAAACTTAAAACTTTTTGAAGAAAAAGTAAGTTAAACTCTTTGAAAACCAAGTCATGTTAAAGAGATTTTAAACATAACAGAAAAGCAAGATGTATAAGAGAAAAAATTGATAAATTGGAATTTGTCATATTAAGTATATCTTGTCCTATGAAAGATCATAGGAGAATTTACAGAGTTATAGTATAAGTTACACACTGAGAGAAATATTTACATATTATTTATCTAACAAAAGATTTGTGTCATGGTATAGAGATGGTCCCCTACTTATAGCACAACTTATGTTTTTTTGTATGCTATCATGATATGAAAATCCTATACTTTCAATAGAAATTATACCTTGAATTTTAAAGTCTGGTCTTTTCTTGGACCTGTAATATGTGGCATGATACACTGTCATTATACTAGGCAGCAGCAGCAGCAAAACACACAGTTACCCACACACTCTAGAGTATACGGTGTTGCTGAGCTGTGATGCTCGGTAGGTTAGGTGTATTAGATATATTTTCATTTTGGAATATTCTCAACTTGTGATGGCTTTTTAAACATAACCCCATTGTAAATTGAGGATCATCTATAAAATAATAAAAATGTTCAACATTAAAAATCAAACCACCCATTTAGAAAATGGACAAAATATGTGATGGAACATTTTCGTAAAGAGGAAATATAGGTGACAGATAAGCACATGAAAATATGCTCAATTCATCTGTTGACAGACAACTGGTAGGCTGGTTTTTAATTTTGCTATTGTGCATTCTGCTGCTGTAAACATTGATCCGAATGGATCACTATATAAGGTGATGGCTCTTATTTTGAATAAATACCAAGGACTAGCATAACTGGGTCATATAGTGATTCCTTTCCTAATCTTTTGAGGAATCTACAAAATGTGGTATATGTACACAACTAGGCTCCAGGGCATTGTGCTGAATTAAAATATATATACATATATACATATATATATGTATATATACATATATACATATATATATGTATATATATATATGTATATATATAATCAGAAGTATACATATTTTTTTCACTCCATTTTTATAACTCCCCTGAAACAACATTAGAAACCTGGAGGAAAACATAGTGGTTCCTAGGGGATATTGACTTTGAGGAGAAGGAAAATGGACAGAAATTTAAAAGGGTTGCATGAGGGAGATCTTTGTAGATGGAATAGCTCTGAATATTGCTTGGTATGGTTCGCATCCAAATGTACATATGTGATAAAAGAACATGGAACTATACACACATTGTACTCATATTAGTTTCCTAGATTTGATATTTTTTCTGTTATTATGTAAAATGCAATCATTAGGGGAAATTGATTCAAGGGTATATGAGATCTCTCGTATTTTGTAAAATTCCCATGAAGCTATCATTATTTCAAAATATTTTTAAAGTGAGTACAACCTTCATTATTTAATGCCAATATTTTCCATCAATATTCAAGTGCCATAAAAATGAAAACTCTACTTTGCAGTGAATTTTAAAAAAAGAAATATGTTAATATAATATTCATCCACATATTGGATTGAGGCAGAGATGACTAGAATCAATGAATAATTTAATCCATTAGTAAATGTTGGGCTAATGAACTGATGAATGTTTGGGCTATTTATGACAGAAGTATGTATAGAAATTCTAGTTTCCTTATTTCAAAATTGTTTTGTGCATTGAAAAGTTCTTCTGTATTTTCATAACTGCTTAAAGAGTGAAGAACTGAATTCCAGAGTGTTGAGTTACCTCTGATTTAGAATTAATATAGGTCGTCATTAAACATTGTTACAGTCTTTTGGAGATAAGATAATTCATATGAATTGAAAATTTATGATACAAATAGCAAACTTATCAATGACCACTGGAAAGTAACTAAAGATTAATTTTAAGAAGCCAATATTTATTGAGAACTTTTTATCTCATTTAATTTTGCTGTGTGGATGTCATGGTAAACTTACTCAAGTATACATATGTAGTTAGTTTTACATATTGAAGAAGAAATTTATGAAGATTCTGTAAAGTGAAACTATATAAATTGATATATTATTTTATCTATGAAATTTAGGAGCTGATCATTCCATATTTCTTTTATTTTTCCCATTTTTGCTTAATTTTTTATTGGTGCATATTATTTACACACAATAATGGGTTTCATTGTGGAATAGTAATATAAGAATATAACAATTCACCTGACAGTATTACTTCTTTAAGAATACTATATTAAGAACCCTATGTAAAATTGAGCTATAGTTCTGGGATTTTCTTTGCTGATGGATTACAATTATTTCTTCTATCTCTCTCCGTTATTGGTTTATTGAAGTTTTCTATGTATTTCTGATTGAATGATAGTAGCTTAATAATAATAAATAATAATAAATTATAAATAAATTATAAAATCCATATGTAAACTCATACGAACACAGACATGCTTAGTGGAACAGAATACAGAACCCAGAAATAAATCCAAAAAGATAGAGTCATACAAATTTTGACAAGGGCTCAGTCTAAGAGGTCTCAGTGGGAAATGGATAGTCTATGCAGTAAGTGATTCTTGAAATACTGGATTTCCATGTAGAAGAATGTATTTGGATCCTTATCTTAAATCCTATACCGGCTACTTAAAATGGATAAAATAGATGAAAGACTTAAATGTGAGATCTGAAACTACTGATCTTAGGAAAAAATTTCCTGGAAATTGTCCTTGAATTTTTGAGTATCACAGTAAAATTCAGGTTACAAAAACAAATAAGTGAAAGGTACTACATCAAACTAGAAACTTCTTCATAGGGAAGGAAATAACAAAACTGAAAAGGCAATCCATGGACTGGGAAAATAATTACAAACCACGTATTTGACAATGTGTTAATATTGTAAATTTTACTCTACAACTCAAAGGTAGAAAAACATGTAACCCAGTTTAAAAAAAAATGGGCAAAGGACCTGAATGTCTATTTCTCCAAAGAAGACATAAGAATGCCCAAAATATGTGCTAAACAATCGGAGAATGAAAATTAAAACCATTGTGAGATCAGATTATATTGAATACCTTAAATATACATAATGAAATATGCATAATAAGTTAATTCAAAACCAGAAAATTCCTATGTAGAAGTTTTGTTATGTTTTTTTTTCTGAATTTCAATCTCCACATCTTTCCTATTTAATATTCCAAATATTCAGAATGACTGACTTCTCTGTGTCTATGATGATTTATAGCTTCTGAATAGTGTCCCATTTTGCTACTAAAGTTTGTATTACTTTCCGTTTATTCATTTTGTCTCATTTTGTACTATTTCACTAAATCCTTTGATGGTTGGAGTCAAGAAAGAAGGCACCTGAGAAATGAAGGTTATTGCCACTGTTGAGGGAAATGTAGAATTGATAACAGTCTTTTGCCAAATAAAGAGGTCAGTAAGAAGGGAGATAATGCAATACTCAGCAAAAAGTAGAAAAACTCATTATTTTATTTTACATTTTGCCAACTGGAGATATAACCGCAGACTTTGATTGAAATGAGACCAAATTTATTTTTCCTGAAGTGAGAGATTATAAGGTACTACACTGGTTGCTTTTGGAATATTTCTTAAATTTTTTTGTATTCTTTTATAAGCAAAGAAACTGACCTTTCTGTAGGATAATTTTTAAAAAGTTATAAAAAAGCAATATACAATGAAAATATACTATGGAACTATACATTTTATTTGTAGAGACTGCTATTTCAGAATTGACTGATTAAGATATTCCTTATTTGATAGCTGACATATTTAGATTTGCTAGTGAAAATCATTCACAGTCCACAAGTTAGAATCACAGGTAAGTGGAATAGTATTTTTAGCAAGTCTTTAATGATTCCCACTACTTTTTGCGTAAAGTTATATTGAATAAAATGCTATGGTAATTTACATGTGTTCAAAATTATCTCTTCTTCCTCTTTAATAACACAAAGAGATCACTTCTTCCTGGCATGGTTTGCCACTTAACTCCTCCCAGATTGCCCTATGAGTGTTTTATATAACTATAAATTCTTAAGAATCCTGATGATAACTTTTATAAAACCAATGTTGTAAGGCAGAAAATACCAATTAATTTTGCTCTTCTGGTTGATCCTGTTCAAAATTCAGTGCATTCGAAGAATAGAGCTTCTGGTTCTTTCCCTGTAAAATTATTACATTCTTAAGCATTTCTTAGGTCACATATTATTTAATAAAAGTACTTCCCAAATTATCATTCTTTCTAAAAGATCCATTCCTTCTCTTTATATACAGAGACTTGTATACATACAGGCACATACATAGATATCTAGATCCATACATGTACATGGATATATATGTATATACAAAATTTGAGGCCCACTTTCAGGAGTTTCATAATTCACTTGAGTTCCCATTTTTGTATCTGTGCATAGGAAACCTTAATTTTTTTGTTATGGAAATTTAAAAGTTCCACTTGGCTTGATGGACACTATTATTGACAGCATTATATCTCCCCCCCCCCACGCTATTAACAGAGCCTGAGCAGCGCAGAAACCTGTTTTCTCATCAATGAAGAAAGAATGGTAAGCAATTGGTACTAACAATGGCACACATGGGATACCTTTTTGCATACTGCAAGGTGATGCTATCTTTCCCAATGTAGTCTTTTTGAAGACCCTAACACATGGTATTTGATAGTTCATTACTTTTGTAAAAATACCTTATGTAGGGAAAATAACATCAGTCACACTAATGAGAATGACATATTAAGCATAGCATTTTGCTTGCATTTTAATAACTTCTAGTTTGCAAAAGAGAAAATGAAAAGTCCAGTGAGTTTATGACTTGATCCACATCATCAGTATGGGTGGTTAAAGGATGGATCCTAGACTAGAGCTAAGATTATGGTATTTTTTTTGTCTCTTTCTTAATTTTCTTTCTTTTTTTTTTTTTTGGTACCAGAGATTGAACCCAGGTGCACTTAACCACTGAGCCACATCCCCAGCCTTTTTATTTAACTTGCTAAGTGTTTTAGGACCTGGCTCAGTTGCTGAGCTGGCTTTGAACTCAAGATCCTTCTGCCTCAGCCTTCTCAGCCTCTGGAATTACAGGCATGTGCCAACGTGCTTGGCTAGAGCTAAGTTTCTGATACCTAGTTTGGAATTTTTTTTCTGTTACATAACCCTTCTTATTTATGAAGAGATGCCTAAAAATAATCATGAAGAAATACAACTAATTTAAAATTAAATTTAAATACCAATTAAGAAGTCAGTAGAGAGACTCCAAATTTTTCACTCTGCAAATAAAAAATGCCATTTTGGAAGGTGGGAAAATAAGAGTTTCAACATAGATGATGGTTTGTTTTTTATCAAGGTCCTAAGCTTTAGTATTCTGAATGAGGATTGTGGAGATGATCAAATTAAAATAATTGAAATTTTGTTGGTTTACTATTTATTTTTGGTTTTGGAATCATTTACATGATTCCAAAGTTGAAAACCACAGATCAAATAAGAATGATGCCTAAAGCTTATAAAATTTAGGTGTTTTTCCTTAAGGAAAATCAATTGAAAAATTATTTAACTATGAGAACATATTGCTAGGGTCTTTCCTAAATCCTCTGAAGTGGCAGGTGCAAGTAAAGTGCCCTGAGGCTTAGACTTTATTGACTTGAAGTTAAATCCATCTCAGTTGAAAATGAGAAATAAAGCGTTTTCAGAAAAAAAAGAAGTTTCTTCCTTCTTTGGCCTCTCAGTCCTTCTGTTTTAACTATTTTTATTTGGTTCAATTCTTAAAAGGCTGTCCAATAGGCTACAATGAATACCCATGGGGGTTAATTTTAAGCTACTTTGGCCAGTATATCTTTCTACATCGGATTTCTTTAATAGAAAATGAAGACACATGCGATCCTGCCATATGTTGCGAAATTCCACCCCATCTATTCTAATGAGAGTGCCTGTCTCCCTACAGCCTTGTCAACTGGGCTGTTATACCTTTAGATCTTTGTCCATTTGAGAGCCTTTTGAGAGCTATTTCAAATTGTTCAGTATCCTTGCTTTAGTTTAAATTTTCATTTCTCTCTATGTGAGTGAGATACTAATTTTTTCAACATTGAAAGGTCATTTTAATTTATTTGGCTCTATAATTCTGTTTGTCTATGTTTTCCACTTTCCTGTCTGGCACTTAGGCTTTTCTCTTATCTCTTGATTTGTTTTTCTTGTCTTTTTACACACAAAACTGCTCATTACTTTATAGAACAGGAATTTTCACCCGCAATGGTCACCGGTTGCCTAGGTCCCCTCAGTCTATTCCAGAAAGAGAATAGTTGAAACAAAACTTTTTATTAAGAACTGAACCCCTTCACTGGTAATTTTGTTGGATTATTATTCTTTCATGACACTGTAAGGTATGCACAATACTGGCCTTTTTGTGCTATTGATTTTGTTTTCTTTCAGATATCATTGCTTATTACAGATATTTTAAAGACATTTCATTGGTATTTTACATGTTGGTATTTTATCCATGATAACAGAAACTAGGATACAATTCAGCATTTCAATAATTGAATGACTTTTTCTTTTCTTCGGTGTTTTAGGAAGTTATAGGAAATTTAAGAAATAAACCCTGGGTAAACTTTCCACATTATGTATCATCCTAGAATATTTAATGTTAGTAATTTTGCTTTCTTTGTCTGATGTATAGAGGCATATTTACAGAATATATATTTTTGCTTTACATTTCAATTATTGCCATGTTTCAGTTCATTATACCTCTCTTTTTTTCCTTAATTCAATTTCACAAACATCTTTCATCTACATTTTCTTTACAAACAATTTAGGGAAATTTACTTTGAAGTAATTTTTTATTATTCTTTCCCATTTTTTCTTTCTTGTTAACCTTTTTACCCTTCAGCTTTAATATCTCCCCCCCCTTCTCTTTCTCTCTCTCACACACACACACACATACCCACACAACACAGAGCAATCACACTAAAGGTTTGTTTAATAGTGATTTTCTGTTTTTTAAACTTTTTAATCCTGAGTAAGGTTGCTAACTCCCTGTTGATTGCTTCACAGCCTGCAAAGCGATTCAATTTGTTCCTGAAGCGGCGTCTTATGGTAAAACAGTGTTGAATGATGTTGCTTATGCTCTGGATGGCTCAATTTTCTTCCAATGAATACTATTAATATGGGGGGGATTTTATTGCCAATTCCTATTTCCCTGACAATTGACATTTAAGAATGGTGATTCTTAATCATTGATATAATGAGATCTATGTACCCTCTTCCTAAAAATGTATATGAACACACACACACATACACATACACATATTAAGGCACAGAGAGTTTGTGTAGTTCAGAGGTATATGAACTCCTGTCAGGAATACAGGTCATGAACCTCAGAATAAACCCATTATTCAAAGAGAAGTCACTCCGGACGTTTGCTTAATTATAGACATTTCTCAGAATCAAATATAAACACTAATGTATGCATATATTATAAAATATGGTCTTTGTGTCATGTTTTGAACAAAACAAAGACAAGATGTGTTTTAATAGTATTCTATTATATGTAACAGAATTATACATTTTTGCCCCAGTTAATTTTAGTCAGTTTTTGTTAACAATATTAAAACATGTGCCTAATGGTGATTGCAAAGACACCAGTGATTTTTTTTCTGTATTTTACAAATATGTTACAATTTATAATCAGTGTTACATATGAGAGAAGTTTGGGTTGTTCTAGAACTGTTCTTTGTGGACTTACATTTAGCTTCTATAAACAAAATGATCATTTGTAAAAATAGTAGTCATTTAACAAACCTACCATATATGTGGCTGTAACAGAATCAGAGCAAGAGGAGTGTTTTTTTTTTTTTTCTTCTCTATCTCTAAATTTGTACTTAGACTATACTTAGTTTGCTTAGTTTTTTCATCCCACTTAGCTTCCATAAATTTGGGGGAATTACATAAGATGGGCTTATATTATGATGATTTATAAGAGTGCCAATGCTTTTTTGTTTTGTTTTCAGTTCTTTTCCTTTTGACTGATTTATAATCATAGTATACCATATAACATATAGCAATGTGAGTTTTCTCAGGTTATTTTACTTTCTTATAGGAAAGAGTAAATGATTATTCAGTTCTTCATATGGTGTGCCAAAAACTCAGACATAACTTTGGAGTTTCTACATTTTAATTCTTTGATACCATAAAAGAAAATCAAAAACTAATAAAACCACCAGTTAAGAAAATACAGACATCTAGTTCTCCATTTGCAAGTTAGCTTAATCAAGTAGAAAATGATCGCATGGACATCCACTGCATAATTTATTTGCATGATTCTAAATTTTACATGCGAACTACTAGAAGTATCAAGTATTACATATTGCATATAGACTGTAAGGAATACTAAATAAATCAAACATGAAATCTCTTTTTTCTAAGCTCTGTAGTACTTTTTTTGCTGTTTTGAAAGGGAAGGAATAAATGAACTATACAACATATGAAACCTAAACTTGTAAATTTGATTATAATAGTGAGATAATTCCATAAATTTAAACAAAAGATTGATTGTAACTCACCCAAGATCAATGATGGAAGAGAGATTTGCATGAGAACTTATTTACAGTGAGACCAACTAGCAGGCTACCCGCTTTCTAATTTTTAACTGTGCCTTGATTTTATTCTTAACACTTCAAAAGTTGAATTAAAAACTGATAATTATATGAAAATATCTGGAACTATCAATCAGAAATTTATTTTCTTATAGTAAGATACCATTAATTGGTCTGAAATTAATCACATCCTGGAAGAAGTGTGTAATCATCGTTATTTAATGAACTAATTGGTATGTTTAATAAGTATAATAAGACTCTGTGCATTTTGGGATTAATATATACATATGTTCATTTTATAATTTGGTATAGTTGCAGCATTGTTGTGTGTGCATGTAGTTAATATTCTTACCTTCCTCCTGAGTTGTTTTTATTTAACCCCCCTTATGAAATTTCACTTTATAAAGTAAGCATTCTCTTCTGATGAAAACTCATGGTTATTTGCCTGACTTATTATTTTAAGATCAAATATAAGATGGTAATCAACTTTTAAATAATATCCTCTTACGTTTGCTATTTGAAAATAAACAATATTTTTAAATATCTCATTGATGTCTCCTGCAGTTTCAAAAAAGGGCACAAAGCAAAGATTCTGTCTTCTTCCGTGATGGAGTCAGGCAAATTGATTTTGTGCTTTCCTATGTTGATGACATAAAGAAAGATGCAGAGATAAAGGCGGTAAGTGCTTATCTAGAGAAACAAGAATAAAAGAGATGCCCATTCTGTATTGTGATGTAGATGACCACATTGAATTATGTTGTAAATGTGAAAGTGCTCTGAAGTTTTCTTGAAGGCTGAAACTTAGTGAGCAGACTGCAAAATAAGCAGCCTACAAATGGATATTTAAGTCAATTTTATTTGGGGGGGGGGGTAGTTTGGAGACCAACTTCTTTTTCTTCTTTCAAATGATTGATATATGTTTTACCTAGCTCACTTTAGACATTTAATGTCTTAAAATATGAGATTGTTTGTGAATATTATTTCCTTTTTGTATGAAGTTCTCATTTTGAAAATGTTTGACTAATCCATCTGATTTGAAATAACCTTCATGTTGTGATCTATTCCCTACCCTATTATTTTCATTGTAACACTTATCATGTTCTCAATTTATTTACTCATTTTTTTTAACTTGTTTATTGCATCTACTACCCATAAATTATGTTTATAAGGCCAAGTACTCTGTCTTATTCATTGCTGTATACCCAGATATCTGGAATGATAATTGGAGTGCAATTAATATTAAATACTCAAATGAAGTACTAAGTTAAAGTGCAATGATAAACATATATATGGATGTACATATATACACTCACATTTATTTACATACTTACAAAGTAAATGTCATGCAACTAAAGCTGTTATACATATCCGCAAGAATATATGACTGTCTAGTCCTGTCTCTTTCTTTTACTCTTTCCTTATCTGGTGCGGCAGGTCTCTGAAATTCATATACTGTTATCTTTTTATCTCTTCTCTTAATGTTCCCTTCATTCCTGGCTGTTCATTGGGGTAGTCATCTCAAGTGGAGGCATTTTTCCTTACTTTCCCTGGAGATGGGGTAAATGTTGCTCACCCATTTGTCTTGTTGATTACACTGTATTCTCCCTCCCTTGTTCCTCAAATTCCTGAGTTTTGAATTTCATCAAATTGACTAGTGCTCTGCACTTGTCACTTGGCATTTCTTGGACTCTGGTTCTTCCCTTTTTATTTTTCTACATTTTTAGCTCCTGCTCACTTTCAATATTTCCTGCTCTCTTTCAGTATTCAGTATTCTTTCTTAAATCACTTTTGATGTCAGGGCATGCATAGAGGATTATTTTGTCCCTTTGGACCTTCTGTTTTTTGAACTCCCTTCTTCAATCATCTTAGGCATTATTCTAACTCTTATTCACTTCCCTGAAACTTGTAACTTCCCTGATAACTGTAACTCTTTATAATTTCATTTCATAGGTCAAATGTTTTAACCAGCTCCTCAAATTTTCTAACCTATACCCTTCTCTTTCAATCCCAGGACTAGATGAAATATAATTATCTTACCACCTTTTTTTATTGCTATTTATCCCCCTCTTTCTGGTGTTTTTCTAGCTTAATTCTGATGGTCAACAGTTGTAACCACTCTTATATATGACATTAAGTTCCTTGCCCCTCTTTCAAGTATACTTACTTGAGAAAACAACCTTAATTAAACGCAACTTTTTTACTTTCTAAATGCCTACTCCCATGCAAAAAGAAAACCATACTTCTTAGACTTCACCTTATAAGGTGCCCATGGACCATAAGTAAGTCCTTAGTGGTGTATGGCAATAATATCTGACTTCCTTATTCTATTGTCCTCCACTCTCCTGCTTGAGAACTTATTATTTTTTCTTACACCTCGACTACCTCCTTCCACATTTCAAACTAAGGAGACCACACTTTTATACTTTACTGAGAAAACTGCTGCAAGAAGAGAAATTCTATAAGTTTCTATCATCACATCTCTCTAGCCACTAGCATTTTCACCTGTATAGTCTGCCTGCCTTCCTGTTACTGTAGAATAACTACTCATCCTTCTATCTAAGGCCAGCATCTCCACATGTGCCCTGTAGCTTATTTCTTCTTACTGACTCTTCAGAAGTCACCATGACCACCCTTAGTTTTTTTTTTTTTTAATTTTTTTTAGTTGTCGATGGACACAATACCTTTATTTTATTTATTTATTTTTATGTGCTGTGAGGATCGAACCCAGTGCTTCACGTGTGCTAAGCACATGCTCTAACACTGAACCCCCACGGTACCCCCCCTAGGTTTTTTGATCATTAGAAAGACTCACAGGACGTAGCATACAGTCATGTTCATGGCTGTTTCATTACAGTGAAATGATGTAGAGCAAAAACAGCAAGGAGAAAAGGCTCATAGAATAAAGTCCAGGAGAAAGCAGGAACAAGCTTACAAGAGTCCCTGGGGAATACTTAACCTTCTCCAGAAACAATATATGACCACAAATATAAAGCATTGTGTACTAGGCAAAATCATTAGAGACTCAATGCACTTAGGCTTTAATAGTGGGCTGGTAACCTCCTCACATTCTGCCCAGGGCATGTCCAAATCCCTTACTCCCAGTAAAATTAGGTGTTTAGCATAAACTACTCTGCGTGTACAAATAGTTTCAGCATATTGAGCCACTCTTATCAGTTCTGGTATTGAGGAGAAACCTCCAGAAAACCAAGTCCCCACACTCCAAGGATGACCTTTCCAACGCTGCAGGCAGGATAGCACTTTCATGTCTATTATATGAACTCTTTTCTTTACATCTACTTAAGAATATTGTTCCTGCAATTCTTTCCTTTCTCTACAAAATCATATTTTGTATTGTTTTTTACTGAATTATTTCCTTAAAAAATAAGCAGTTAATTTTTCTACTTTGAGAAAATAAGCAAAACCAGGACAAAAACTTTCTTGATGCAAGTTTCCTTACCAACTACTCTCCAGTTCTCAAACTCTTTTTTTACCCAACTCCTTAAACCTCTTCCTTTCAGGCCCTCATCCCAATCACTCTGTGCATCTCCACATATAGAGTTCAAGTCTCAGCCCCCATCATACGGGACATATTACAGTTTGGCATAGTTGATAATACCCTTTCTTATGTATTTTCTTCACTTAGCTTCCAAGAATACATTTTCTTAATTTTTCTTCTTTCACTAGTTGTTCCTTCTCAATCTCTGCTGGAACCCTTACTCTTGTGGTGCCACAAGAGACATAGTTCTTAATCCTTATCTTTTTAAACTTCATTGATTTCTCTGATGATATGATTCTGTTTGCTAGTTGTAAAACTGTTGTGCCAAATACAGAGTTTCCTTTTCCTGTTCAGAGTTTTCTCCCAATAATGCACAACTCAATGACTATTCTGCATTTTTATAAATGCCATAGACATCTGAAACTCAACAGTTCAATTCCTATACTTCCCCTAAAGACAGACCCATCCACAAGTCCTCCCCATCTATAATTATTCATCATATCCTTCAATTTTTGGAAAGGATATAACTTAAAATATACTGTAAATGCACCAGTTCAATTACTTTTCCTGTGTTTCTATAGAAAGAAAATTCTGTGAAAATTGGATATCAACCATCATTCATTTTTTAAAAAAATATGAAGAAACACCTAAAATGTTCATTCTACTTCCCCACATAATTTTACCCTAATATGCATGTTTTATTATTTTTTTAAATAAATTTATTTTAATTAGCCATATATGACAGCAGAATGCATTTTGATTCGTTGTAAAACTTGCATCACAACTTTTCATTTCTCTGATTGTACGTGATGTAGCATTGCACCATATTACATTGCACAGTCTTACATGTACCTAGGGTTTTAATGTCCAAATCTCATTCCACCATCATTCCTGCTCCCATAGCCCCTTTCCATCCCTCCTCCACCTTTGCCCAGTCAAAGTTCCTCCATTTTTCCCATGCCCCCCTCCCATATGGATCAGCATCCACTTATCAGAGAAAACATTCAACCCCTGTTTTTTTGGTATTGGCTTACTTCACTTAGCATGATATTCTCCAACTCCATTCATTTACATGCAAATGCCATAATTTTATTCTCTTTTAATGCTGAGTAATATTCCATTGTATATATATACTACAGGTTTTTGTTTTTTTTATCCAGTCGTCTATTGAAAGACATCTAGATTGCTTCCACAGTTTAGCTATTGTGAACTGAGTTGCTATAAACATTGATGTGGCTGCATTACTATAGTATGCTGATTTTTAGTCCTTTGGGTATAGAACAAGGAGTAGGATAGCTGGGTCAAATAGTGGTTCCATTCCAAGTTTTTTAAGGAATTTTCATACTGCTTTCCAAGATTGGTTGCACCAGTTTGCAGTCCCACCAGCCATGTGTGAGTGTGCCTTTTCCCCCACATTCTCACCAATACTTATTGTTGTTTGTATTCTTGATAACCACCATCCCGACTGACGTGGGATGAAATCTTAGAGTAGTTTTGATTTACATTTCTCTAATTACTAAAGATGTTTAACATTTTTTCATATATTTGTTGATCAAATGTATTCTTCTGAGCAGTTTCCAGCTCCTTAGCCCATTTATTGATTGGGTTGTTTGTATTTTTGGTGTTAAGTTTTTTGAGTTCTTTATGTATGCTGGAAATTAGTGTTCTATCTCATGTGCATGTGGCAAAAATTTGCTCCCAAAATGTAGGCTCTCTCTTTACCTCATTTTAGTTTGAATCCATACCATTTATTGATTCTTGATTTTATTTCTTGTGCTGTAGGAGTCTTATTAAGGAAGTCGGGGTCTAATCCAACATGATGAAGATTTCGACTTTCTTCTTCTTCTATTAGGCATAGGGTCTCTGGTCTAATTCCTAGGTACTTGATCCACGTTCAGTTGAGTTTTGTGTATGGTGAAAGATAGAGCTTTAGCTTCATTTTGTTGCATATGGATTTCCAGTTTTCCCAGCACCATTTGTTGAAGAGCCTATCTTTTCTCCAATGTATGTTTTTGGCACCTTTGTCTATATGAGATAACTATATGTGGGTTTGTCTCTGTGTCTTCTCTTCTGTACCATTGATCTACATGTCTACTTTGGTGCCAATACCAGGTCATTTTTGTTACTATAGCTTTGAAGTATAGTTTAAGGGATGGTATTATAATGCCTCCTGCTTCATTCT